TAAGTACCCTTAGTCCGATGTCTTCTTTGGACTTCCCCTCTCACTCTCTCCCTTCCCCCATCTTTGCCGGCATCATTGCTTACCTTCTCCCCACGAGGTTCCCCGTTTGCTCAGCTTCTCTTCTCTTCCATCAAGTTCGGCTCTACCGTCGGTCAGCTCCTCATCCGCCACTTTTGAAGTCATCAATCAAGTCGATCAACAAAACAAAGTTAGTTAAGTATACTTATAATTCTTTAATCCTAATATCATTAATTTTAAATGATTATTTTTTGTGTCAATTATTATTATGTTAAAAAAATAAACTTAATATGTAAACATTTAAAAATAATTTGTTAATATTTAAAAGTTTAATGTAAAATTTATTAGGATTAAACTAATAGTATTAGGGTTAACAGACTAAAAAGGTACTTTATAAAATTAAGAGATAAAATAAAATAATATGTAAGGTTAAAAACTAAATGTACATTTCAACCAATGAAGTTCGACTTTGTTTGTCCTTGTAACTAGGGAGAAGAGAAGAGAAGCGAAGCGAAGAGAATGCTATCGACTTCGAGAATTTTCCAGCAGGGCCTCAAACCACACAATAATTAAATTACAGCATACATATAAATAAATACAACGTCATTAGAAACTTAGATCAACTTATTATTCTTGAACTTGTATGTATATATATATATATATATATATTTTTGGGCAAAACATGTATATATAATTAGGTTGTAGATCATGTTGACATAGAATATAAGATGAATCATATTATTCTTGACTTGTATAAAGTGTAGCTTCTTATATATGCATTGTTTTATGCATCAAAGATAATGAGATAGAGATGAATGTAGAACCAGTTGGTCCCACATCGCCTACAATGTAAGATAAGCTGTTTTATATAAACACTTCAATAATCTTTGATGGCTGCCAAACTTGATAATAAAAGCTGATGTTTAAAGCAATGGTACAGTTAATTGTAATTGGTCGGGGTTAGTTGTTTTAAGTTTTAAAATATCAAAAATGTAATTCCAAAGAAGATAAAAAGATTACTTTTTTTTATTTAAGTATTTGCAAGAGAATAATGTGCAAAGAAAATATTTGAAAATACACACATAGATATAAGAAAAAAATGCACCTAGAAGAAATAGGGCCAAGAATTACTCTCCTCGATCTTAATTATAAGGTAAAGTGTTAAAATACAATTTGGTCCTAAATATAGAAAAAAGTGTAGCAGTTACTTTTTATTTCCACTATTGTCCCTCCTTAATTAAACTAAGTTGTCGAAAAACTTTAAATTTCTTTATATTTTTTAAATTAGCTGTTTGGAATGAGTAACTCATAGATAAGATCCGCATTTCTTTTATTCTTTTTACCAATTCTCCTTTATAGTGTAGCTAGGTTGATCAATTTGGACAAGGGAATTAGTTTATAATATCTTTTATTCTTTTTAAATTTCATGGTTTTTCATAGACTTTGTATAACACAAGCTCCATGAAGCTTCTATATATATTAAGATAGCGTATTGGCCTATTGCTATATTGAGTTAAATAATTTTGTGTTGGGTTCCATATTCAGGCAAAAGAAAGAACGTGTATGAATCAAGGCATGAATGAAGCTAGCTAGTAAAAGTTGTTTAACAGAAAGGCTAATACAAGACCATATATATCATCATATCAGGGAATATATTAAGTCCCACACATTGTTTTGAAATTTCATTGGACATCGCCTAATTACTAAAGTAAAGGGCATCATCATCAAGGACTTGAAGGCATTGAGGATATGTGAACTTAAAAAAATTATATAAAAAAGAAACGAAATACAGAAAGAGAAAATTGTCAAAATCAATCACAAATAATAAAAAAATAAAATAGAAAGATATAGTAAACTAAATAATAAAAAGTTAAAGAATTACACAATGACAACACGAGGCATTTCAAAATAGTGTTGGGCTTTAACTACAAAGTAGTGATTGAGAATTATAGAGAGAGAGAGGGAAAAAGATAATAGACATAAAAATAACACGTGGCACCATATGCAATTAATTTCTTTTTTTTTTTGCATGCATTTAATTTCATACATGTCACTTCGAATGCATCAACAAAGAAAACCAATTTAGAACTAAATGTGGAGGATCTTAAATATATATACTAGTAAATACAAACATACAAAACTTAATTAATATATAATGCATTAATTTCATGTTCAAATGTTAAAACTCGTGAATAATCCTATAAAATTAAAAGAGGTAACTTGTGCTCCATTCAAATAATCCCAAATTATATTATGTGATCATATATACGGCTAATGATTTGACAAAATCGCAAAAGCAAGGAAATTCAAATGGAAAAATGATAATTAAGGACCCCATATGATCATTAATTATAATTAAGGCTTTGAATTATTGAAATTTCAATAATGAACTATGATCCTTACTTGGAATTAAAAGATGAGTTTAAAATTAAGAAACAACACTATTAAAATTACTATTATGGGTTGACATAATTGTTAATCTCAATTGAGAAAACTAGGATTCACACTTAGGAATGAGATTAATAGTAATCCCAACTCATAACAATTGAGATCTTGGTTTTTATAAATAAGATTAACAATAGTCCTTACCTATGACAGTAATTTTAGTAGTATTTTTTCTTTATTTTCTAAGTAGTATACTTATATATGGACAAATATAAAAATTCACAAGTGATTGATTTCACATTCAGAAGTGATTTTAGTAAATTTTTAAGTGACTATCATATATTTATAAGTGATCTTTTGAAAGTTTTACACTAGTAAATTGTAGTTTCATACAAGAAAACAACCCATTATCAAGTGTGGTTCTTAATTTTTTCAACTAAGGTTAACAATAATATCAATTCACAATAGTAATTTCAGCCCTATCTTTTCTTAACTTTAAACTCAAATATTTTTATTTCAAATAAGGATCATGATTTATTATTGGGATTTTAATAATTTAAGGTCCTTAATTGTAATAAATGATCTTATATGATCCTTAATTATCCTTTTCCCAATTCAAATCCTTGTTTACAAAAGTCAAAGCTTTAATGGATTA